CAACTTTTTTTGATGTATGAATAACCTTTTAATAAAATAAAAATGACATTTTAAATAACAATGACGAGAGTTATATATTCATATGAAATAATAATTATTATTACCTTAACTCTAGGAAAACAATCTAACTGCATTGATTGATAAATTAAAGAAAAGGTACCCGAAATCATAGCTTGAGATGAAATTATAGTAGCTAATACGGCTAAAATAAATACAATCCAATAAATAACAGGTGTAGAGGGTGTAGTTAACCAAAAGGTATTGGAAACTATGGTGGGATCTAAAACCAAACGTGCAGCTTGGCCTGTATATACTAAAACCAAAGGAATATAAACACCAAATGGAAAAGAGATTTGAATGGCTCTTTTATCAAAATGTCCTAAATCTGCAAACAATGCTTCAGCGCTTTTGGAAATAAAAAAAAGTCAGGATTAGATATTACGTGGTGTAGATATATATATATTTATATGTTGTTAAAGAGATTTTGATTTTACCCAGTGACGACAAAAAAAATTCCACCGAGATCAATAAGCTTTAAAATAAAAATATGGATATATTCAGTATATATTTGCGATAAAACAATTGGTAATATTAAAATAAACCTAATACTGTAATAGATGTAGACATTTTACCCCGGCTTCTTTTTTTCTAGCAAAATAATCAAAAGCATAATATGGATTGTAAGCTTTAAAAATTTCAGGATGTTGAGAAATGTTCCAAATGCCAATGGTAGTGATAGCGATAAACCACAAGGAAACGCCAGGAGCATATAAGCTCCCAACTTTGTCTGTGCCAAAGCGTTGCGATAGAAATAATACAACGATAATAAAACTTTTTATTTAAAAGAGAAAAGAATTATTTACTTAAATAGATTGCTTATTAAATAAAATAACTTAATACGTGTATAAGTAAATACCAGCTGATAGGAACAATAGTAGGTGTTAAACCTGGCATAGGGACGGCAATACCCTCAACGGCGGAAATTACAGATATGGCAGGTGTTAGGATGCCATCACTAATTACTAAAGAAGAGCCAAAGATGACCACACCAAATAAAATAGTTTGTACAGCACTACTACGCTTAATAAAGTTCGGATTTTCTTGAAAGTCATTAGCAGGTATACTATCATATTTTAGAGTCAAATCATCATCAGAATTCACATTTCTGCGCACAGACAGGCCGGAATGCCTAAAATGATAATAAAATAAATAAAAGTTAAAACATCGTGTAAATATTTTGTAACACATGACAGTATGTTTGACTATAATTTTATATGTGGTAACTTCAAACGCTCAAAGCTAAACAAGCAAACTATAAAGCAATGCATTTAGAAAGATCTGATTGTATGTATGTAGCGACTTACCGACTTAATAATGAATATAAAGCAAAAGTGCCGCCCTCTCCATTATCATCTGCTTGGAGTACTATGAAAACATACTTTATTAACACCACGATCGTCTAAAAAATGTGTTTTCATCATTAATCAAGGATAGTTATTTTAAAAAAAAAATAAAAAAAAATTAAAGACAAACCAATAACCAAACGACCAAAGATAAAGCACCTAGTCAAGTACATAATTAATATAAAGTAAATCATTACAAATTAAGACTTTAGGTCAAAAATTAAGTAACATTGACATACCATAAACATCTCGAGAGTCAGTAGGTGGATTCGGGAAGATTGCAGTGAACACTACAAATTACATAAGATAAACGATAAACTAAGGTTCAATACAATAGCTAAAGAGTGATAGAACCTACATACCAATTAAGGGTGCAGTACCAATATCTCCAAATACAATACCTAAATTTTTGGTATAAGAAAATAAGAAACCAATATAATATAATTAATCGACAAGGTATTGAATTCTAAAGAAATACCTATAGATTTGAAGGCTAAGTTTAGGGTAAAAAAACTCGAATTTCTCTAAAGGTATAAATTTTAATTAAATTAATAAATGAAACAAACTCGTCTATGTAAAGACTTACTTTTTTTCCAGATTCTGGATCAGACATTTTTTCTTTATTGATAAAAAATAATTCTATGTATTATATAGTATCTACAGCCTATATTTAAATCCTTTTACTTTTAGCAAATCAGTGCGTCAGACATAGCAACATCAATTCTATCACTATTTTTTGAATTAAAAGTCCCAAAAATTTATCAAGGCAGTTAGCTAAAAATATCAACAGACAAACTAGACATCATCACACGCAAGATCTGGTCTAATACGCCTACATTAATTCTCTGCTACGCTCCCGGTAGATGATTACTATAAAAAAAAAAAAAAAAAGGTTAATATCAAATTAAGATTTATAATTCAATTCTAAGATTTCATTGTTCAAGTTTAGAAGAATTTGGGCCATGATTGCTTTTTTTATAACAGTTAACCGGTTATATTTTATATTATTATTATACTTTAAATAAAAAAAAGATATGCTGATAGCACCTATCCTAATATGTTATTAAGCGATAACTCCCAGAATCATTAATGCAATCATCCGGATATAGTATATAAGTTTCGTCATCGATATTCATTTACCGATAAATATAGCCTGATTTAAGTTATTGCCGTCTTGATTTATAGCCAGCATTGGCTACATTTTAAAGCTCGGGATAAAAATATAATTCCGAAGGTTCTGATTAGGGATGTTAAAGTGGTATACGGAACACTGGGTCCGATTAAAAAAAACATTTCCGGAAAAAAAGCAGATTACATCTATGGATGCCACGTGATTTAAATCACGATGATATAAATCACCATTTTTATTTAAATCATTTTAAAGCCTGATTTAAATCATCTATTACGTAATTAATATAACAGGTAAATCGATTAATTTTGTGATTCAGTATTGGTATTGAATAATTTTAACTAAAAAAATATGACTCTCGGAAGATCTTCATTTAAAAATGTTCGTTCGCAATTTTTATAAATTATTGGCACAGATAAATATGGCCGAAAAACGCTTCACCAATGTGTATCCACTGTGAAGGTTAATATTGACATAATTGATCGTTTAAAGGATCATTTGATGAAATGTAAAAATCTTTCACAGGAAATAAAAAATTCATTAGATTTTATTACTTCGGCCACAGCAGACGATGTTGGTCCAATTTCGGATCCATTCATAGTAAACATTGTAACAGGAGGAACCGTCGATATTACACAACTGATCCTTCACCCGGTGTGCACCATATAAAAAAATTATTTTACAATACCAGATCATTCCGATAGTACATGTTATGATTATAATCCCACACCATTTTATTATATTAAAAATGGTGTGGGATTATAATCAGAACATGTACTAGCGGAATGATCTGGTATTGTAAAATAATTTTTTTATATGGTGCACACCGGGTGAAGGATCAGTTGTGTAACATCGACGGTTCCTCCTGTTAAACATTGTGCATGTATTAGCACTATCTAGATGAAGAAGCTTATGAAAGTTTATCAGAATTTGAGAATTCTAAACGGCATTGGTGAGGAGATTTGGTTTGAAGATGTCGAGGATTAATTATATTTATATGCTAATATACTGTACTGTACAGTACATAGCAATAATAAAAGTTATATAACGATAGGGTGAAACCTGAACCCATTATTGATGCAGATCACTACTAATATAGTATCTAACCCTAAGCTAACCCTAATAAAGTATAAATCTGCATCAAAAAGGTAACTCGAAAAACTCAGGATTCAGTCATGTTATATCTAAGATCGATATGCAACAAAGATCAATTTAAAATCATTTTTAAATCACGGAATTTGATTTAAATCATGATTTTTACCATCCCTAATTACATCAGCCGGAAATTTTGTGCCTTGATAACTACCCGTGCGATACTGATTAAAAAGTAAAGTGCAATAAAGTATAAATAATAATTTAATATGAGAATAAGTTTTAATTAATTCAGTGACTTAATCACTGGTTTAATATAAATACAATTCATCACACAGTAATTTTATATGGTGCGGGATTATCTATACTGGACAGTTACACAAAGTGGTTTGATTTTTTAAATTGTTATAACTTTTTATCTGAGGTTTTAAAAAATCTAATTGGTTAATTTTATAGAGCTATATAGGTTGTCATCTATTAAAACAACCCATTTTTACAAATGAACAATTTTGAGATAATTGAGTTTAATCATTTGTTTTGATTTTCGGACTGATCCGGGATTAATCAAATTTCACGTTTTGATTGGTTAAAGGCAACAGGTGACTATCAGGTAATCTCATGATATGCTTTGCTTTAGGCAAGTCTATGTAATTTTTTCTTTTACATTATCTTGATTTTTTATTATGCAATTCGGTTTTCATTTTTTATAATTGAAAAATGTTAACCATGTCAAATTTATATAAATCAAATAAAAACTCATTTTTAAAAAAATTGTAAAAATAGGCTGTTTTAATAGATGATACCTCATATTAGCTTTACATATGCTCCAAATATTTTTCAAAATTTTATTACTATAAAAAGTTTTAGCAATTGAAAATTAAAATTTTATATCGAAATTTTAATTTTCAAATTGTTTTTTTACAATGAAGAGATTTTGAAAAGATATTTGAAATATATGTAAAGCTACTATAATTTTATAAAATTATTAAATTTTTTAAAACTGTAATAAAAAATTATAATAATTTAAAGATTAAAATATTTTGTATAACTATCTAATATAGATATTCTGTATTATATAATTTTTTACTAGAATTTTAATATAATTAACTAATAATAATTATTACTATCTTTATTTT